ATTTCCCGGCGCCTCTGGCGCGAGCCCTCGGCGCGCTACTGTACGATCGCCAGGGGGTCGGGCGTCGACCTGAGAAACCCGCGCACACCTAAACGTTGAAGCTTTAATTGTAGTTGTGTCTTCGATTGTCCCGCCATCCATTCTGGTGGCTTTCTCGGAATTCCCTCGTCGTCACTGCTGGACTCACTATGAGATCCTGGTCAGATCGCGCCCCGGGGTAGTGGTCCCAGACGTCAGACTCTTTCGTCTTTTTTTCCAGAAAAGAAGAACGCCATAAACATAACCTCTTGGCGTTCCGCGCGGATTTCTTGGATCTGCGCTGGACCCCCCCCTCCCTGGCGCGCGGAGCGCGCCAGGGGCGGCGCCGGAGGCGCCGCCGCGGGGGGCCTAACGCGTATCCAAGACATCCGCGTGGAACGCCAACAGTTTATGTTTGTGCCGTTTTCTCTTCCTCGATGTTCGACCCCTGCCAGGCCCCCAGAAGTCCTGACCCTTCCCTGTGCAGCCGGAGTCGCTCTGTGGACGGCCCCGGGCCAGGTGGGGGCTCGGAAACGGCCCCAGACCTCCGCCTCAGACTCTTGCTTGTGGGCGCCGGCCGTCTTGGCATCGTCTTGGCGTGAAGGGGGCAGCCTCGCGGAAGGGGCAGCAGCGCCATCAGTGACGCTTGGCGGACGTGAGGTGTTTGCTGATTGAAAGCTTGTCCAGTGCCAAATCGAAGTTGATAGACAGAGTCGCTGCTGCAATTCTTGCGCGGGTCTGGCCACCACAGTGGCAGACGAGCAACAGTCGTGGCAAGGAGACGGGGGATACTGCTAATCCTGATGCTACTGAGGGGCGAAGGGTGTCTTCTCCTGCTTCTGGATCTGGTCCGGCTTCTGGATCGGGTCCGGCTGGCCCGATCCAGAAGCCGGCTTCTGGATCGGGTCGGCTGGCTGGCTTCTGGGGGGGGTCCGGCCTGGCCCTCCTCGCCCCGTTCCCCGCCCCGCTCCCCGCCCCGCCTCCCCCTCCTCGCTCCCCGCGCCTCGCCCTCCTCGCTCCGCGCCCCCCCCCCGCAGGTCCGGCTTCTGGATCGGGTCCCCGCTGGATGAGTGGCCGTCTCTCCTGGGGGGGCGGACGGCGCGCGCGCGAGGAGGGCGCGTCCGCCCGAGGTCGCCCGGCACAGCCTCGGGACCTCCCCGCCGCCCGCCGAGAGGCGGGAGGCGGGAGGAGGAGGAGGAGGAGGAGGAGGAGGAGGAGGAGGAGGAGGAGGAGGAGGAGGAGGATGAGGAGGAGGAGGAGGAGGAGGAACAGGAGGAACAGGAGGTGGTGTAGGTGGCGGAGGTGGAGGTGGTGGGTTCTACTCCTCCTGCCCTTCCTCCCTTCCTTCTTTTTTTCTCCTCCTCCTCCTTCTCCTCCTTCTCCTTCTACCACTCTCTTCTTCCCCGTACCCTCGCCCACGCGCCCTTCACCGCGGCAAAGGCAAACACTCTCCCCTCACTTCACCACCCTGTCCCTTTCCATTCCCCTCGCCCACTCGCCCATCATCCCCCACCATAGTTCTCACTCCCTCACACCTCCATCCCGCAACCACAGTCAGAAGCTTGAGCTACCCTTCACCCTTGGTTCCTAACCTCCCCTCCCTCCCCTCCTTCTCATCCTCGTCCTCGTCCTCTGCTTGTTCTTATTCTTCCTCCGCCTCCTGCTCACTTTTCTTCTCCTGCTCCAATCCTTGTGCCCTTGTCGTCGTACCTCCTCCTTCTCCTCCTCCTGCTCCTCCTCCTCCGAATTTCAACGCCTGTCTCGCATCTTGAACTGTGGAAGCGTGTGGCTTCGCTGACTCAAGAGAAAGCTGTGGTGCTGGTGCAGATTCCCTCGCATCTCTCTGCGGAAGAAGTGCTCGCCCAGGAATTTGCTCCACGTTTCGTTGTTGCCAAGTCGGTTGCCAATCGTGCTGCAGGGCACTTTGCGTCTGAGGTTGTGCAGATGCCATGACGCGGCGGTGCCAGAAACATTTGCTCGCAGTCATGTCGGATGTGATCGAGCATACTTGTCCCATCCTGTGCAGCGGCTTTGCTTGATGTTCCTCGTGGTGTTGTGCGGCGGCTGCCGGTCAAACGCGGCAATTTTTAGAGACACCCTGCCACAACACTAGTGAACGGGGGCCATCTTCAGGCCTACTGCTTCGGTGCGCATGAGGAGCTGTCTCTTTCATTCGGCTCATGAGGCCGCGTTTCATCTTGGCCTGGGTCTGCTCTGGTGTTTGTGTCGTGGCGCCTATCGCTCTCACCACCTGGCTGACTTGGGTTGACCACGCTGTGGTCATGTGTCGAAGGCTGGCGCCCAGAACTTGTCCTGCCTGGCTGGCGCGGGGGTTGATCCCTGGGCCGTGTGTCTGGGGTAGACAGAGGAGGAAGAAGGAAAGCGAGCGAGGAGGGCGACAACGGAGAGCGCCGCGCCCGCCCGACCCGTCGTGGACATGGGCGGCGCCATCCGCAAACCCGCCGCCCTTTCCCCCCCCCCCCTTTGCCCGGAACCCGCCCGCGCCGAAGGGAGCTATGCCAGGTGGCGCAGGTGGTGGGTCCTCGTGACGTCCCGTGCGCCACCCTGGCCTGGCCAATGGTGTCATCAAACATGATTGTGATCGATCGTTATGCATATATATATATATATGTATATACACACACACACACACATCCGCCGGCCCCCCCTGTGGGGCCACCAGGCTGTGGGCCGGAGGTTCGCAGTTTCCTGTGCCAGTTGCAGCTTCCAGTTTCCACTGTTACGGTTCAGCTTCTCGCTGCTTGCTGTTCCTTGTTGACTTTTTGCTGCTTGCTGTTCCTTGTTGATGGACCGCGCGAAGGGGGAGGCCCAAAACGAGCATTTTTACGACAAAGAAATCGTATTGTCTGAGATGCTGGGGTGGGTAAAAATTAACACCCCTCACGCAGATCGGCGGGGTCAGGGTCCAAAAACAAATTGGATTTGCTACATTTCTGACATTCGGTGGCACCCCTCACGCAAATCGGCGGGGTCAGGGTCCGAAAACACATGGGATTTGCAACATTTCTACAATCCGGTGGCACCCCTCGCGCAGATCGGCGGGGTCAGGGTCCAGAAACATATGGGATTTGCAACATTTCTGACAATTCGGTTGCACCCCTCACGCATATCGGCGGGGTCAGGGTCCAACACCACAAGGGATTTGTTACATTTCTGAAATTCGGTTGCACCCCTCACGCATATCGGCGGGGTCAGGGTCCAAAGCCACAAGGGATTTGCCACACCTCATGCAAATCGGTTGGGTCAGGGTCAAAAAACACAAGAGATTTGCGACATTTCTGACATTCGGTGGCACCCCTCACGCAGATCGGCGGGGTCAGGGTACAAAAACAAAATGGATTTGCCACATTTCTGATATTCGGTGGCACCCCTCACGCAGATCGGCGGGGTCAGGGTCCAAAAACAAATTGGATTTGCCACATTTCTGACATTCGGTGGCACCCCTCACGCAGGTCGGCGGGGCCAGGGTCCGAAAACACATGAGATTTGCCATATTTCTAACATTCGGTGGCACCCCTCACGCAGATCGGCGGGGTCAGGGTACAAAAACAACATGGATTTGCACCATTTCTGAAATTCGGTGGCACCCCTCACGCAGATCGGCAGGGTCAGGGTCCAAAAACACAAAGGGTTTGTTACATTTCTGAGATTCGTTGGCACCCGTCACGCAGATCCGTAGGGTCAAGGTCGAAACACAAACAGGTCCCGACACTGCTTCACGGCGGCGCCCAGACCTCATGATTTCGCTTTTACATCTCCCATTCTCCGAGAGAAGGGGCAGGCGGCAGGGGGCGAAGCCCTTACGGATATACATATATATATATATATACACGTGTATATATATGTGTATATATATATATACGTAGCACCCCGCAGATGCGGGTAAGAGTGATGGGGGCGGTGGGGACGTCGGCAGTTTGCGAGACTCTGGAGAAGCCCGCCGCAGGCGCCACAGTTTTACAAACTGTATAACGAGCCCGCCGCAAGCGCCGATTTTTTCGTTCAATCTTTGTGTGTAGGTCGCGGGTGGGTCGTGGGTGGGTTGCCAATGGGTCGCGGGTGGGTCGCAGGTGTGTCGCTGTTTGTTCTCGGGTGTCGAGGGCAGAAAATCCACCCCATAGTAATCACCCCGACAAGCGAAGCCGTTTAGTAAACGCACACAAGGAATGAATCGAACAGGGCAGGGCTGTTTAGTCAACGCCTAGGGCAGTTTAATAAACGTCAATTGTCGGGTCCGTGTGGTTTTTCCTCCCTTGAAGGTGGATCGCGGGGTGGGTCGCGGGTGTGTCGCGGGGTGGGTCGCGGGTGGGTCGCGGATGGGTCGCGGATGGGTCGCGGGTGGGTCGCGGGTGGGTCGCGGGGGTCGCGGGTGGGTCGCGGGTGGGTCGCGGGTGGGTCGCGGGGTGGGTCGCGGGTTGGTTCGCTCGCAGGTTGGGTCGCGGGTTGTGTCGCGGGGTGGGTCGCGGGTTGGGTGGGTCGCGGGGTGGGTCGCGGGTGGAACGACGACAACATTAACAACACCACCACCAACAACAACATCAACAACAACACCAACAACAGCAACAACAACGACAACAACACCAACAACAACAGCAGCAACAGCAACAGCAACACCAACAACAACAACAACAACCACCACAGCAACAACAACACACTCGCAATAAGTATAATTCTCACCACGAGTTCCTTATTCAGACACGCACCCACAATGAATGACCGTTCGGCCCCCCTACTCTGATATACACCTGCCCTCCCGTCCCCTCCTCCTCCTCCTCCTCCTCCTGGTGCCGCTCCTCCTCCTCCGCCGTGTGCTGCCGCTGGTCGCATATGGATGTTTAGCACGGCTGGGGCAGAACTTTTTGGGGGCGTCGAGCTCGAGCTGTGCCGTTCCGAGCTATTTTTCTTCATAGACGCTGCTTCGCGTGCCGGTGGACATCCTGGCTAGCAACAGGCACGCCCCTGGCAGCAGGTGGCCACTGAGAGGCGCGGTGTGTTTATGCGCCTGCGCTCCTCCCACGTCGTGAGGCCTGTGAGCCAAAGGGTGCCCAGTACCATGCAGATGGCACGGGGTATGGGCTGGGTAAACAAACTAACAGGATGCGAATCCATACGCACATGCGCAATGGGACGCGACAGCATAGCAGACAAAATGCGGCGGGCGAGATGGTAGGCGAGCGCGAGCACGCTCGTGGGTAGCAGCAACTCCGCGCGCTCGAGCGTCTCGCCCAGCGGCCCGCGGGCGGCAAGCGAGAAGGGGGCGAGGTGCACTCAGCAGCTGCTGCTCCTGCCGCCGCGCCCGCCGCGCGCTGCAGGGCAGCAGCGGACCAGGCTGCACGGGAGCGAAAAAGAGGGCATGGTGCGGTGCCGCGCTCGCGAGCGCGGTGCTCTGTGGCCGCGGCGGCGCCCCTTGTGGGGCGGACGTGCAGGCCTCAGCATGCCTTCTCTTGAGCAGGGGCCGACCGTCCCGGCATTCCTATAGTCATACCACGAAATGTTCTTAGACCCCCAAAATGTTCTAAGAACCGAAACAATATTCTTAGAGCATAAACCCTATGTGTTAAAGCAAGACGGTCCCCGCCAGAACTGTTATAAGAACATTTCGTGGGAGCCACAAAAATGTTCTTAGAACATGGTGTGGTGGGGCTATAGGCGAGCCGGGACGCTTCGCCACTGCTTGACTCTCGGCCTCTTGGCTATGATCACGTGCGGTCTCCGCTCCTCTCGGCGTGGCAGCCGCGAGAGCGGTGCCGCGCTCGCGGGCGCGCGCCTGCCGAGGCCGCGCAATGCCGAGGCCGAAGGAGGGCCGACCGCCCGCCGGGCGAGCGCGCCTCGGGCCGAGGGCCCCCCTCGCCGTGCGTCGGGGGGGGGGGGGAAGGGGCCGGGCCGCCGGCGGGAGGCCGGCCGCGCCCGGGGAGCGCAGCGTGTGGCGAGCCGCGGAGAAGAGGCCACGGGCAAGCACGAAGGGGCCCACAGGTCCAACAGGGCAGTTTTTAATACATAGGATTTTTGAAAACATATGATTTTAAAACACGGTTAATGTATAAGTGAATTTATGCATGAAC